TCACGTTGATACCGTTGTTACAAAGGATGTACATGATTCACACGATGTTATATACTATCAAAACTTAATGCATACAAATACAAGTTACCGTGTAGCGACTTATCGATCATAATTGTTGAAACAAAATAAATTACGCTCGCGTTACGTGCAGCCGCGTGTAAAATTACTGTACACGCTGATAAGTCGAAGCTGCGTTTGCGTCGAAGCGTATAGAAAACAAATTTGGCAGACTTTAATGGCAAATAAATTCCTCTACTCGAAGTTATTTCAACGGAAGAAAAATCAGATTAAATTATAAGATGCCCTTAGAATTATTGGGATAAGGGTTTAATAATCTATATTAAACAATGCTACACACAAAATAAGACTATCTATTTCTAAGTTACATTCTAAATTTAATAAATATTAAAAAATTTCTATTTAATCCAGAATAATTTCATTTGGATAAAATTGATAAGATACCATCTTTGAAAATGAAGATGTATATTTTTTAACAAAATTGTCACCTTTGTTATAATGTTATTAAGATGGTTCCTTCCAAACATTTATTACAAATGAACTATTTCTGCTTTTCATATTACACATTTGAACAAACAAAATTATGGAAAGAACCTGAGGTACGAGTAGATCAGATTATACCTACACGAAAGAAAAAGTAAAACGACAAAATTCACGCACGAACTGCGCTAGTCGCAAGGTAAAACAATTTACGTAATGAAATACGCAGTCAGTTTTGGTGCAACACGTTGTAAGGATTTTGGAAACGGAAAGTACATTTATGTGTAGGTAACAGTTGCTCCGCTTATCAGAGTCAGCGAGGCGAGAATGGTGTACTTCCGCTTCCGCTGTTGGTATCGAGGATCCGTGAAGAAAGAGTTTCAAACCGGAGGGACCCACAATGTTCGGAGAAGTTAATCCGCTCTTTCGGTCCCGTTAAGGGGAATTTCAATTTTTACTACGACGCGTGCATAGCTTTATCGCGTTGTTACTGTTAACGTGCCTACCTACGTCACGTTGTTCTTTATTTGTCAAGAGATAGTGCTATATATACACCGCAATGAATTTAACGTCAGCGTGTTCAAATTATCAGATCGAACGCAGAATAATATTTTTATCGTACCGGTCGTTGGGTTTCCTTTTGGCGCCGAAGTCGGTAAATCAAAATACAAAATCAAAGTGTACCAAAGAACGAATCGTAACAATGGGTCGTGATAAGTTTGTATACGTACAATATACGGTAGAGATATTCGTGCAAACGATATGCACGGTCCTTCTGTATCAAACGCCAGGATCTTTTCCCGCTGCGAACCGTAGCACACAAAAGCCATCGGCGTCGGTATAAAGAATTTTCTACGGATGTCATTCGTTGTCTCTCTTGTGCACTGTCACTTTGTCCCCTTCCCTCCTACGTACGGGAGCGAACGAGATTAAGCAGGTGTACAGTACGTGTCAGAAGTTCTTTCACCTTTCTTTTTTGCTTCAAATGTTCGCTTGCGATACACCATTAACGTCTCAGCCCCCTTTTCTTAGTTAAATATGACCAAAGCTATAAAGAAATTAAACACGTTGATTGCCAGGCCAAATTTACTATATTTTTACTTATTTGTTTACTCATTTTCTTTAGCTCTTGACTGGAAAGTCCTTTCACCCATGTTTGGATGACAAAAACATACTATCAAGCCGACCAAAAATAATATAAAAAACAATACAAAACCCTATTCCTAACCACTAAGTTTATTTTATTTTTATTTATGTATTTAATATTTGCCTAGTAGGCTTAGGATGGCTTCCAGTTTATGTGTTTACTTTTTCTATTGTATCTTTTAATAGCATTGTCATAATAAAATGCTGCTATGAGAACGTCATAGTGTGGGGGGGTGTATGGCATACAGCAATATTGGGAATATAAAATTTATCGAAGATGATAATGAATATTTTAAAGCATATGGTTTAGCAGAGCAATTTATTAGAAAGTATGGTTAAACTAGATATGAGTAATGAATATTATTTTCTTTTAAATATTATTAATAAAGAGAACTCCATATTCTACTTACAAGATCAATAAACCGAACATGCATTTTACATTTAGAAATATGAAAACAATGGTGCATTACGGAATGTCTTCGAGTAGACGCTAAAATCGATTAGGTGTAACATATTTGAGCTATTCATATGATAATAAGTAACGCAGACAAAAAGCGTGTCGGAGACATGTTCACTATGTTCGATTGTATGCATGTTGAGACGTTGTGAAATCGAATCATAGATCACGATTGTATCGGTCCATAAAAAAATCGAAAACATGCGCGACGCAGCGAAAAAAGTTGCGTTGAACTTTTTCGATCGAGCGAATATGTGACCTGGTATGAAGTCCAAACTACACTTGCATATTTCAAGTCCGATCTGACTAGTGAATTGCATAAAAGTTTAGATGTTTGTAGAAGCTTAAGGTTTTTTGAAATGCGTTTAATAGAACCACGAAGTCAAGTTGCTTCCAGGATGATGTTCATGATGTAACGGGAGAACGATATATCATTCTATTAATATATATAACATGTGCGTTATCAGGAGCATACAGATACGAAATAGGATTACGTATACGAGTAAGCCACATTACGTGACACATGGATACATTAAAACATAGTTTGTTCACCTCGCACCAGGACATAAGATTCTTAAGGCCAGATGGAAAGTTATAAGGGTCAGTGAAGTCGTTTCTTATGGAAAAGAATTTAAAATCATCTGCATAGTCTACCATGGTGAATGTAGTAGTAAAGTCTTCGATAAAGATAATGAATAATATAAATTTCACGTGAAAAATTAGGAATTTCATTGGATGCTTTAAAAAAGCTAATAGATTCCATGGCAAGAAATGCAACTAACTTGTACTTATTAAAGTTTGTAATTACAAACAATCAGAATTGATAGTGTGCAAATATTTATTTAGCATTGATATTTTCCATTACTTCAGCATTATATTTTGATGGTACTTTTCTTTTTGGATACACCAAAGCTTGAATAACTGCGAATCATTTTCTATTGGATAACTGAACGGTAGTCATCCCCACTACTGAAAGGGGATTCCCCTTGACACACCGCGGAGCTTGACATCAAGCGGACAGCGTAGCGTAACCTAATCTGGGCTCAAATATCAGTGAAACAATACATACAAACTAATGTAAAGATGAAGCTTGTTTACTTTTCTGTTTTTCTTAATAAAACTTGGACCAATGTATTTCTCAGATTTTTCCGATTAAAATAAGACTAAACACTCACCAAATATGATTCAAATCATATCGTATTTCAACTTATTTTAATCAGAAAAACCTCACAAATATATTGGTAATGATTGCACTAACAAAAAATAAAAAAGTTTCACAATGAGTTGCCATTATCTGTCTTTTATTCGCTGTTCTTTTTTACGTTCAAGATACAAAACTGAACACCGTAGCTTGGAAAGTAGCGACTTTTCCGGAAACTGAAAATCAACCAGGCTTTTATAAGACTAAGACTATAATCCCGTGTTTCTTTCAATTTTTCAAGCATTGATGTATCGTATTACTAATGGGAATCATGGAAAATTAATGATCAGAACGTATACAATAAAATAATTTCAAAGTACAAATACCAGAACAGCATTTGTTTATGCAAAATTGTTAGAGAAAATTTGGGTATGCAAATATTTCTGTTACCCACTGTATACTTTGTACGTACGGAGTACAATGTGCGCGAATTGTACTCGCGCAAATGATATGCGGTGGTCCTACTCTATCGTATCTCCGGATCTTTCCGCGTTGCACGCCATGGCGCACACAAGGGCCATCGGCGTCGAATATAAAGAATTTTTCTCGGATCTTGCTAACGTTCCTCTTTTTTCGCTTCGTCTTTTCGCTTGCGCGTGAACGCATGGAGAAACAAGATTAAGCCGATGTATAGTATATGCACGCGCTGGAAGTTCTGTTTCCTAGAGACAGGAACCGAGAAGAGCAAAGAAAAAGCGAGAAAGAGAGATTGACTAAACCTCTTCCACCCGCGGCGAGCGTGATAGTCAGTGGGCGATGCGCGACCAAACCTAACCTAACTTCGGTGCCGGTTCTCCAGCAGGGTAAGCAGGCTGGGTCGTCAGGCGGCGAGAGAGAAACAGAGACAGACTAATGAACGGCGTGGGTGGTGGGGATCAGATCGGCGCATGCGCGGCAGCTACGCTTATTGAGCCACGGAGAGGGGCGGTTGGTGCCTCATCGTCGGCGGCGGCGGCGGCGGTGGTGGCGGTGACGGCGACGTGGCATGGTATACGGTCGCATGGGTGCAGTGAGGGGCGAGACGAGCGTCTCATATTATGCGGCGGAGGGGATCGTGGCTCCTCGTAGTCGGGGAAAGGAGGAAAAGGCAGACATACCGTAGCCGAAAGGAGAAAGATAGAGTAGGAGACTGTGTGTGTAGCGATAGTTCGTACGTAAGTTTAAGGGAGAGAGAGAGAGTCGGAAACCGACAAAGATAAAGCGGAAAAGTTAAAGCGAAAGGGAAGCGGAGAGATAGAGAAAGAAAGATAGAGAACGAGAGTAGGTTCGAATTAGCGAGAGGGTGCATAGTTGTGCGATAGATGGTGGAAAGAGAAAAACAGGAAAGCCGCTGTATATCGAAGGGAGAAGGAAACGACATAAAATGTTGGACGAAGATGGAGAATGAGATCGGCGAGTGGCGAATGGGGAGATCGTAGGTGCGACTAAGCGAGTCGGATAGAGGGGAATATGATAGAACGAATGAAACGGAGCGAGATGGCGTAGACTGCGGGGAAGGAGAGGGGAGTAGAAGTAGGTTTGTATGCGTGTGGCTAGGGTAAAGAGTAAAAAAGGTAGAAGGCGGGCAGGGAGTGAGGAGTGGTAGGACGAAATAGGTGGGGAGAAAGGGGGAAGGGGGAAGGGCACGGCAAGGGGGTGGGGGAGAGGGGGCGCTGCCGTCGGGCAGTCGGTGTCGCGCCAGGCCCCCGCTAGCGGCTAGCCAAGCAAGCAGCAAGCAGTCGCAATCCCGTCGCCTAACCAGCATCGCTCGCCTTACCTTTTCACCCTCTTACAAAATCGCATCGAGGCTTCCGTCAGTCGCATATATTTGCCCCGTTCCATCTGCCGGTTCCTCCGACGTCGTTCGTCGTCGTTCGTCGTCGCCATAGCCGCCGTCACCGCCGCCGTCGCCGCTACTGCTATTGCCGTCGTCATCGTCGCACACGCAGTACGTCGTCGTTATTGCTGTTGCAATCGTCGTCCAGTCGCGCGTGATTTTTAACAGCGGTTTTATTAAAGGGAAAGCGCGAACGAATATAATACGGAGTCCTTGTGATCGAGCAAGCTGATTATGAGTTGGAACAGTGCAGCGATACAGAAAGCATTCGGGCCAGCGTTTTTAAAGTGAGAACAAGTTTTCGTGGTTTTGTGTTTGCGAATCCGGCTAATCGACCGGAACACCAAAGTGAACGTAAAGGAAAAGTATTATCAACGTTTTCTGCTTTATACCTTTGGTGAGAAAGGGGAGCAAGTGCAGAGTCGAAGGAACGAGCCGCTAAAACGAAGCTCGTATGTCACACGTTGAAAGGACCAGCCGTGTCATCGTCGGAATAAGTGCTGACAATATATGATCTATTTTGGTGTGTTGTTCGTTACCAAAGTGAGGAGTCGCAAGCTCCGAAGAACCAGTGAAGGCTCACCGACCGCCTAACCTGTCACGGTGACCGACATCACGGCGAGATCGCGACTGATCCCTCCGCGTGTTCCGGCGCAAGGTAGTACAGAGCTCTCTATTTTACGATACATATGTTCGTTGCACGCGTGCATATACACGTATACGTTCGTATACGTGCGGCTATAGAGCAATAAGTCGTACACGCCATTGCCCGCGTGTGCTGTATGCATTTCGACGTATATATCTCGTCGATGACGTCATCGTTTCCGTAATTGCGTTTTTACTCCGTTACAGAAACGACGACGATGCCGTCGCCTCAGTTTTTCTTTTGTTTACACTATCCACGACCTGTGCCAATTATTTCAGAATTCATTTCCATACTCTTCGTCCAGGCTTTATTCTACTCATCGCGTGCCGTTCATTCGTTCGTACTATCGTGCGCATTTTAAACGTTATTTTCGTCGCGTTCCGTAACGCGACTCGTCGTTGCTTCGTATTTCTAACTTCTTGCGACGTACGAACGATCGTCGAGAATTCGGCTTCACGTTCGGTAGCAGAGAAAAAAAAAAAGAAAAATACATAACCTCTGAATCGAAGGTGCGCGTGATAATCGAAAATGCTCTTCGTAACGCGCGAGTGTATCGATGTTTTCTTCGTTACCATCGTAACGCGAAAAAAGGAAAAACACGCGCAAGTACGTTGTTCCTGTTCTAGATTCTCGAGATACGCGACGATTGATTTCATAATCAATCTACCGCGAATATTAACGAATTGACAGCCAGCATAGAATCGTCGAAACATACGAATCGAAGTCACCGCGTGATATGCGCGTTACCGTGCGCGAATGTGTGTCCAACGATTAACCACGTGCCATTAAATTCTCGTTCCTTCATGCAGTTCAGGCTCGTTCAGCGTACGAGCTCGCGGCGCATTAACTTTTATTTGCGCGAATGTCCGTACCGAGTTACGTTTGTTCCAACTCTATACCAAGATTTTTGCGCTACAATATTTTGTAAATTATTCCATAGTTTTCTTTCTGTGGTGTCTAGTTTCTCGCCGGTTACACAGCCGCAGTAACGCGCGTATTATTTAGCGACCTGTTTTTCACGAGCCACGGTAAATGTGTTTGATGATACAGTCAGTCACGAAATTATTGGCACGAAACTAAATTTTATAGTAACACGGAAAATAAGAACGTAACGAATGAATTTAATATTTTGTATTAAAAAACAGATAGTTTGGATCTTCAACTGATAACGCTAAAATAATACTGTGATATTGTATCTTAAAATTACGAAGAAACGAACTGTAATGATTTCTTGCACATTTCGAATAGGTTCGTATTTTATTATAGTTATTATTGCAGTGGATATCCTTCTTGCTGTATAACTTCTGCCAGTCTTTTTGGCATTGAGTCATTGTTTATAAATAAACGCATTCGATATTCTGTCATTTCTCTTACAATTTATTTGGCAGATCAGTTTAGGATACAATAGGTGGTTTGGGTATATTATTATTGTCAACTATATTCTACGCTATTTTTTGAGCAGTTATACGTCAACCATTTTTGCATTCTCCCCAATTTATGCTTAATATTGTTATCATAATAGAAATGAAAATTATCTAGAATATTTATTTTGTTCCATACTTACTATATTATTCATAGGTCTTAAAATAAAGTCGAGGTTACTATCACTATGCTACCTACATGATGCATCATCATAGTATCGCATTACATATGGTTCCGTGTGTAACCTAACTAAACAAATTTTTCTTTTGCTTAACCATCGGATATTCGAGCATTCAATTTGCTTTTGTTACAGAGTGTAATATTATATAAAAATTCTACACACTTAAAATGTATTTTTCAAGCTTCGATAACGATTGTTTTCGTGACCTATTTTATTTTATATTCGTCCTCCATTTTCGGATCACTTAATATTTCGTAATGTTGGGTAACTTTTGTACATGATATTTCCAATCCCTCAGTAGTAGTTTTTATTTTTCTAACGAGTTATGATTGAAATTTCTAATATTCAAACTTGCTCATATTTCTCTTTTTATCTTATCTGGAGATATTCTCGATATTTGTTTCAAATTATAGCATAACAAATAGTTCACTGAAATATTTGTAATTATGAAGTACATATTCCTAATGGCATTATCAACAAATTTACGAGCAGCAAGGTCCATTTAGGCACGTTATAGATTTAAATTGCTGGCCATCAGTGACTACCATGATAATCAGTGCATTAAATTTTTCCAGTTAGAATTGTTACAGTTAGATTCTGCGTAATTTTGAAACGCGTTTCAGCTTTTTTTGCTTTTTTTAGTGAAGCAATCAACGCCATCTGTTTTTTAGTAGAAAAAAATATTACAAAATTTAAAAAATTTTGTGACTGTATAGTTCCCGTGATGTTTTCATTTCGTGGGCGAAAATATACCCGTAGATGCACTGCTCTGTAGCTCGGTATGCCTCTAGGGCTCGCGGTTGCTGATGAGATGCATCACCTGTGTCGAGCACATTTCTAAAACAAAATAATACGATGCGTGAGAAGAGTACTCGCGAAACTCGTTAGTTTAAAGTATTTAGCTGCTGGCCTTAATAAATATCGTAACTCGTACTATTCTTTCGCGAACGATTAAAGCGACGTTTGATCATTTTTCACGATTTGTTAGTCGCAACGCTCACATTCATCTAGCGTAATTCTTTTCGAACGATTTCAAACGAACTTTGCGTTTCGGATAAGCATGGACTACCAATCAAGCATTTGCAACCGATTAAACGTCTGTGTAAAACTAGGTTGTCGCGTAATTATATATAGTTTTATTGAAACTGATACTTATTTACCAAAATATAATTTGAAATACATAGGTGCATTTATGCTTTTATGAAACAGATCTGTATTTCGTCGATTATTCCTTCGAGTCAACAACGCTGTTTATTTTGGATGCTCGTATCGGATATTCGAAAGCTTTCAAACCCCACATTCAAAGTTTCTAACTGTCTGTACATCCTCTGAAAGCTGTATTAATATCAGTGTACTTCACGAGGCTTTACGTATTTAACTACTCAAACTTTTGGTTTAATGGGAATACGCAAAATATAGTCGGACAGGATCAAACTACTGCATGGCCATCGATGGCTTTATATTTAGTCTTTTGTCAGTGGTTGATAAAATGGTTCATACTTTTTAATTAACCCTGGAACTATTTTATCGAACTACCCAAACAATTGTGTAGAAATTCATTGAAATACTTTCGAGCATGTGGTTTGAGAATATAAAATTAAAATGTTCGAAAATGGTTTAGGAACATTTTTATTCGCAATTATTTTGTACTATCTAAAATTAGTATCTTAAATAACACACATACGTACTATGAAAGTATGCCAAATTTATGGTAGCATTTAAGACTTACGAAATAATGAAGAAAAGTACGTTTTTGAATTTGACGTTGATCCATTGTTTGAATCGTCGCACAGTCTATTATTTGGTAGTAAAACAATTTGTCGTTTTCGCTCGACTTGAAACTTTGCCATCTGGCTGCATTGTTCAATTATCAAATTTGTGAAAATTTGTACACGTTTGCGAAATCGGTTATTTTATGTAGAACAATTTAATAATTAATTCGTGCGTATTGATCGTTTACTCGACTAATTAATTGTTTGTGTTTACGGATTGGGATTTTAGCTTGCATTGAGTATCTAAATATTTTTAATATTTTGACGGGCGTAGGGCAGACAAATCATACGGACCAATAACCTTTTGTCGCGAAGATTTTGTTGACAATGTTCATTCTTGCGGTGGAGTATTTCTCTTAATTCTGAAAAGCATTGTGTTTCTATTGTGCAAGGCACTGGCAGGTTCTTCGATCCTTTCGCATTCTTCCGCGAGCAGGTATGCGACTTTCTGATCTATGCCTTTAATCTTCTTTAGAAGTGTATTACGGTATCTCGCAACAGGGCTGCACTTGTAACCTTTAGTCTCAGTTTTTTATTTTCGACATCCAACACCACTGTTCTTGAAAGTCGAAACGACTTTTTAACGCAAGTATAAGATTACATTTAAAATTTGCCAAGTTTCTAGTAAAATTAATTTTCTTAATTTCTTTAATTTCTCGATTTATTATAACAATTGATACCAACGATACGAATGAATCGAAGAAAAAGTAAATGTAAAATTTAACCGAGTTATTTACGAGTTGTTACAATTTTTTTGGGGACTCCATTTTTTGTTTCTGGCCCGCAGATTCCTCAAAACTGTGGCTAGTGTTCGACATTTCTTGTACGAGAAATCGTAACGTGTATGTGTTTTATTAGTCTTATTTGTTTATCTTTCTGTGTATCTTATGTTGAAGCGTATCATAAAAGAATCAAACATTTTGTTTTCAACAAAGTTTGTAGTTTGAAAGTTATAATCTGTTTAAAATTGTAGTGTACTCGCGATCACAGATATTTCTTAAAATAGTGAACATACAAGGAAGCCTATTTGATCCGCGAGTGGAAACATAACAGCGTAATGACTTTTTTAATTAGTAAACTACGTTTGCGATGATCCATTCGCGAGATATTGTCATAAACGTCGCGGATGGATTTGCCAGCGATTTCACCGTAGAACAACGATTCTCAAATATTATTTTGCAACTTCCTGATGTTCTCTGCAATTTGTTTCAAGGGACAGCAGACGGGAATTACTATTCTGAACTGAAAGCGGTATCTAATTTATTCTCGACGTTCATGGTAATATCTCGCAATTGATTATCATGCAGCTCTTTGAGTTCGTCTTGGGCCGAGCAATAAGGTTGATCAAATTATGTAGTTCCATTTACAAAACAAATGAAATTGACGTTAAAGTCCCCGCGACTAACCGTTCAAACGTTTCGCTACCAGCGTTTCTTCTTCTGAACAAAACAACTTCTTTACAGTCTCGTTAGCTTTATACAAAGTAATTAAGTATACGTATGCATTTCTGTATCGAACAGTACATTCTTAACAAATTATTTACGTAGTTCCATTTGCGGAACAAATGAGATTTACGTCAAAGTTGTAACATCTACTAGCGTCTTTCCTTCCGAACAATACCTCGTTTCTTTAAATTT